GCGGAGATAAAAAAAAAAAAACAAAAACACAAAACACAAAACAAAACAAGACAAAATGCACCTGTTGCCTTCAGAACGGCGGATGGTTTTTCCCCAGGGAGTCATTTTGTGTCACTGATACTCTTTGAGTTGAAGATACATTTGCTCTCCTTCTACATGGGGAACCCCCCGGAGGGGGAGCCCCATTTTGCACAGCGGTATTGTAAAGGCCGGGTTATACGTAGTTGGCATTTTAAGCGAAGCAAGCGTGAACTAGGTGATGGAAAACAAGGGAAAAGTATGAGGGATTGCGAAAGGAGGTGAGCTAAGATTTTGAAACGAGTCTGGAAAACGTCTGAAGTGTTAACCAATTTCTAAGAGGATGCTTTCGATATCTGAATTCCGTCTTCGTAACGAGCTGATGAGCGCTCTCTGTTTTCTTGCCTTCCCAACGAAATGCTATCACGCAGCGTTCGATTCTGAGCTTTCAAAAGCATACTCATCATAACTTACGAGCCTTCTAAAAACGTCATTCAGTACAGACCAAAATACAACATAACCGTATCCAGATATGGACCACAAGCAACTTCTTTATATCTTTTTTTTAATAACTGGGGTTTAAAAATCTCGTCAATATTGGGAGAGAATGCTGATGACTTTTTCACTGCTTTGGACAGCTGCGTAAATACATGAAATGAAAAATAATTTCGGAAGGCCCCTCAAACTGCGCAAAGAACTATATCAAATGTCTTTGACCGTTCTAGATTCAGGGGCCCCCAACGAGAATATAGTTCAAAACCACTTAAACATGACATTGTTAAATGTATTTTAGTATTTAAAAGGTAGATATAGGCATATTTTTATCCCCTAAAAATTTTTCATCTATTCCGATTTTCTAGCTGAAAGTCTAGTGATCCGAAAATTATAGGGATCAAAACTCATCTTTTCGAGAATTTCAGCCAGAAAAAAGGCTTCCGAAAATTTAGGGTAAAAATCCGTTAAAAATGGGCAATTATACCATTTTTTAGATATTCGAACATCGCAGGAGAGGCAGGCAAGCAAGAAATTGTACAACAAATGTTTCGAAAATTCTAGATCTCAAATCGTCTTCCGAACAGATATTTTCCGAAAATTGACGTTGGGTGCCCCTGTAGATTGGTCAAGTCTTGATTTCACCGTCAGCTATTACCAAGTGACAGGCTTTGCAAACGGTTAGCAGTAGAGTCATTTACGGGCACGTCTCGCGGAAGTCTTGTCTTGCGGGATACATTTGACTTAATTCTTTCGGGTTCTATTTCAGGCAATGAATCGTGTTATACCGTTTTGTGCTGTGCATGTGTTCAAGTATGACAGCATAGCCTATGACTAACAGCAAAAGTAAAAAGAACGTCTAACAGATGTATGGCTATGTAAAAAAAGGCACTAACAAGATTAAGACGAGATAGCATTAGTATTCAGGTCAGGATTACCTTAAAGATTTTGCTGAAGACTCACGGTTTGCTTGTAGCTTTTCCCGTTGAAAAAGGTCTATGATAAATTATACCAGAAGCTTCCTATGTTCACCTTATTAATGTGGACGCTTGCTGATTTCGGACACTATAGTTCTCTTGGTATAGAAGATGCCAGTAATCACATAATTCCTGCTTCAATAACACAAATACCTTTGTAATCCGTCCACTTGAGTCTGTCTTTATGTAAGGAAGTTTGACCTCAACGCATCACAACTAATCTACAACTAAGTAGACAAACTAACGAACTGAACCAATCAGAATTCGTGGTGTTCAACATTTCGCAAAAAGGAACTGACAGCAGGAACAGTAATTAACCAAACCGCTTTTTTTTTCTTTAAAAAAAAAAAAAAAAAATGTGGCAAAATACAGAAAAAAATGTTATTTTTTTGATTTTTTCCTTTATTTATTTCATCCGGTTTTTATGAATACAATTGAATTTTTTAGTTTTTTGACAATTGTTTGTTTTACCCTTTCAATCCTTTCAGTCAAACCATTCGTCGTGACATTGT